AATCTGGGGGAGGGGCAAAGGGAGAGGGAGAGGATCTCAGACTCCCTGCTGAGCGCAGAGCATGACATGGGGCTCCATCTCACCACCCCGAGACCCAACCTGAGCTGAAACCAAGAGTCAGATGCTTAAATGACTGAGCCACCCAGGTGCCCCCACATAATACTACTATTAAGGCATTAGTAACATTTTTTTCTCTTTTGGTGGTGCATAAATGTTGCATTTTTTTTTTAAGGATTCCTTTTTTTTTTTTAAGATTTCATTCATTTATTTGAGAGAGAGAATGAGAGAGAGCATGAGAGGGGGGGAGGGTCAGAGGGAGAAGCAGGCTCCCCGCCGAGCAGGGAGCCTGATGTGGGACTCGATCCCGGGACTCCAGGATCATGACCTGAGCCAAAGGCAGTTGCTCAACCGACTGAGCCACCCAGGCGCCCTAAATGTTGCATGTTTCAATTGATGGTATTTTAGATTTATAAAAATGGTACTTGAAGAGATCAACAAAATTTCCAGAACTGATCAAAGACACCAATTCATATAATCAAGAAGCCAAAAATTCCCAAGCAGTATAAATAAAAAGAAATCCACACTTAAAGACATCACATGATTATTTAAATCTAAAAGGAAAGAGCAAGACCTTAAAAGCAACCACAGTGGAAGGGAAAAAAAAGGAAGTTACCTTCAAAAGAAGGTCAGATGCCAGGTTTGTGAAGTAGAAAGTTCAAGAGTGTTACAATGGCAACTCTCCCCGGATTGATTCAAATATTCAACACAATCCCTACCAAAACTTCAGCAGCCTTTTGACAGAAATTGTAAGATAATCCTAAAATTTATGTAGAATTGCAAATTACATAAAATTGCAAAATTTGTATAGAATTCATAGAGAGGGATGCCTGGATGTCTCAGTTGGTCTGTCCCTCTGCCTACTTCTCCCTCTCCCTCTGCCTGCCACTCTGCCTGCTTGTGCTCCCTCTCTCTCAAATAACTAAATAAAATCTCAGAAAAAAAATAAGTTTTAGCTCTAACATTTAGCTCTATTTTTTTTAAAGATTTTATTTATTCATTTGAGAGAGATACAGAGACAGAGACAGAGACAGCACAGCAGGAGGAGCAGCAGAGGGAGAGGGAGAAGCAGACTCCCCACTAAGCTGGGAGCCTGATATGAGGCTCGATCCCAGGACCTGGAGATCATGACCTGAGCCGAAGGCAGACACGCAACCATCTGAGCCACCCAGGTGCCCTGCCCTGTGCTCTGATCTATTTTCTGTTAATTTCCGTATATAGTATGAGATAAAGGTCTAACTTCATCTTTTGGCATATAGATTATCTAGTTTTCCTAGCACCATTCATTAAAAAGGCTATCCTTTCCCTCTGAATTTCCTTTACACCTTTGTTGAAAATCAGTTCACCCTAAGTATAAACATTTATTTCTGTACTCTCACTTCTATTCTAGTGATCTACATGTCTATCTTTTGCCAGTACCACATCATGTTGATAACAACTGAAGTAGTTTTATATTAAATTTTGAAACTGGAAAGTATAAGTTGTCCAGCTTTGCTTTTCTTTGTCAAAAGTGTTTTGGTATTCTCTATGAGTTTTTTTTTTTAAAGATTTTATTTATTTATTTGTCAGAAAGGAAAAGGGCACACGAGCAGGGGAAGCAGCAGGCTCCCTGCTGAGCAGGGAGCCCAATGTGTGGCTCAATCCCAGGACCCCGGGATCATGACTTGAGCCAAAGGCACACTCAACTGAGCCACGCAAGCGCCCCATAGAGCTAAAACTTTTAAAGGAAAACACAGCTAATTACCTTCAAGACGCTAGGTTAGGCAAAAATTTCTTAGATATAACACCAAAAAAATATGATAAACCAGACTTCACCAAAATTCAAGTCTTTTGTACTTCAAAAGACACCATTAAGAAAATTAAAAGACAAGGAACAGAGTGGGAGAAAATATTGCAAAATTTTATCTTATAAGGGACCTATATACAAAATAGTCAAAGAATCCTTTATATATGAGAAAACAAATAATCCAATCCAATCCAATGGGTAAAATTTTCAAAAATAAATTCCCATCAAAGAATATATACGAATGGTTAATAAGTATATAAAAAGATGTTCAATATCACTGGTTTAGAAAATGCAAATTAAAACTACAGTAAGAAGCAATTTCACACCCACTAGGTGGCTACGATAATTTTTTTTTAATAGATGATAATAGGGATGTCTGGCTGGCTCAGTTAGTAGAGATGCTCTTGATCTTGGGGTAATGAGTGTGAGCCCCATGTTGAGTAGAGATTACTTAAAAAAAAAAAAGAAAAAGAAAATAGATAACAAATGTTGGCTAGGATGTGGAGAAACAGGCACCCTCACACTACTGGTAGAAAAATAAAATGATGCAAACACTTTGGACAACAGTCTAGAAGTCTCTTGTAAAAAGTTAAAAACAAATTTGCCAAATGACTGGGCAATTCTACTCTTAGGTATCTACCCAAAAGAAATGAAAACATATGCAAAGATTTATACATGAATTCTTTTAGCAGCATTATTCATATTCATAGTCAAAATCTGAAAAAAACTAAATGTCCAACAACTGATGGAGAGACAAAATGTAGTATATCCATATAGTGTAATACTATTCATCAACAGAAAGAATAAATTACTAGTAATGCTTCAACATACATGAACCTCAAAAATATTACACTAAGTGAAAGAATGCAACTACAAGAAATCACATATTCTATGACTGATTTATATGAAATTTCCAGAAAAGGAAAATCTACAGAGACAGAAAAAAATGGACTAGTGTTGTCTGGGATAAGGTGGGAGGAATGAGGATTAATAGTTAATGGACATGAGGTTTCTTATTAGGCTGACAGAAATGTTCTAAAACTAATCAGTGGTGATGGCTACACAAAACTAAATTTACTAAAAAAAAAAATCACCAAATTATATACTTGAAATGGATGAATTACATGATAAAGTATGCCTCAAAGCTATATATACACATACATACATACATATACACATATATGAAAGTCAAATCAATAAATAACATCACAAAAACAACAATGAAAACCAGAAAACAGTGGAATGAGATCTTAAACATAATGACCAAAATTACTGCTAATCCTGAATTTTATACCCAGCAAAATATGGTTAAAGAATTAACAAACTAAAACAACTTTGTCAAAACAATAAAACAGAACGTGTCATCAGCAGATAGTCTCTAGAAGAAATGGTCAAGAATAAACTACTAGAAGCAGGAATGTATTCCAGATATAAGATCTAACATGGAAGAAGCAACAGCAAATACACTGCCAAATATGTATTTGTACACAAATATAAAGAACAGTAACATTAAAGTCTCAGGGATTAAAAAGTATACAAAGCACAATAACAATGTGTCAAGAGGGGAAGAAATGGGGTTAAAAAGTTGTGAAGTCTTTATATTATCCAAAAGGAGGTTAAACGTACTGATTAACTTTAGGCTACGATCATTATGTTATTATTTCTAGAACCAAAAAATGAACAGAAACAGACTGTAGAACTTCTAAGTTAGAGGAAAAATTGAAAAATTTTAAATTATCAATTGTATTACTCAGGAACATCCAGAGAAACAGAACTAAAACCAATAGAATGGATGTATGTGTTGATTCATGAAATTATGGAAGCTGACAAGTCCCAAGAGCTGCAGTCAGTAAACTGGAGACCCAGGAGAGAGCTGATGGTGTAGTTCCAATCCAAACCCACAGGCTTGAGAACCAGAAAAGCCAAAAGTCTATTTCTTGTCTGAAAGCCAGCTGGCTTAACACCCAGAAAAGCTAAATGTTTCAGTTCTATGCAGATCCTCAACAGGTTAGATGAGGCTCACCCATATTGGGAGGGCAATCTGTTTTACTCAGTCTACCAATTCAAATGTTAATCTCATCCAGAAACACCCTCATGGACATACTCAGAATGTTGGACCGAAGAATGTTTGACCAAGTAGCTGGGTACCCTTCTAGCCCAGTGAAGTAGACACATAAAATTAATCATGATATCAATCCAAAGAAAGCAAGAAGGGAGAGTAAAATGGAAAACACATGTCAAATAGAAGATGTAAAGTAAAACAGCAAAGTCTACCACTTTGTATCAGTAAATACATTAAGTGTAAATAAATTTAAGTTCCACTTGGAATCAGCTAGATGTCTAGGAGAAATAGATTAATTCAATCCACTCATTCACTAATATCTACTCTGTGTTATCTACTGTTTTAGGTACTTGGACATATCAATGAACAATCAGATTATAAAATAATAAATATTTTATATTCATTTTTGTCTATCTAGAATCTTTAAAAGACTGTGGTGATTTATAATTTAAAATATTTTTATATAACAGGTTAATTTAAAAATAAGAGCTTAGCAACTAAATGAACAAACACAGGACATAATTACATGAGGAACCACAGATGAGAAAATTACTAAAAGTGAGTATTATTATTAACCATGAGCTTATGAGCAACCAAGACAAAAAGGGAAATGATATATTTTAATCATTTGGCAAAGTTAAATACGCTATGAAAGACAGAAACCTTTATTAAATAAGCCCTAAATTACAATGAAAACTAACATGGACCCTTACATATTAAGGAATATATAATTATATAGGTTGTCTCAAAAGATCCAGTAGCCTTGCTAAGTTTCAAACAAAGACAAGCTGAGTAGGGTAAGAAAAAACTACTGGCTTCAGATTCAAACAGCATCTGAATAAAGTCTGAATCCTGTTCCATCACTTACTGCTTGTATAACCATGGGCAAGTCACTTAACCTCTCTGAACAAGGGTTTCCTGATCTCTGAACATGGGTTTCCTGATCTCTAAAACAGAACTATGACTGAAGGAATTAGACATTTCATAAAGTATCTAGCATAAATAAGTTCTTTACTTTAAAAGAATTTTTATTTATTATAATGGCACATAATCAATAAACATAAGGTCAATGTAAACTATGTGAACAATGACAGACTAGAGTTTCTACTTCTAGATTAAAGGACATGGTGCTTTTTTTTTATTACCATATAATTATTTTTAATGTCCAGCGTTTGTAATACAAGGCCAGAGCTCTCTCCCCAACTCAAGTTTATAGATTTTTGATTTGCTTGTGAGGCCAAAAGGGATATTTCTTCTTGTCTAATTTGGTTTCTGGGAGGATTTCATTCAGGTCCTCAATGATCATCTGATCAAATGGAATTATGTTCTTCATCTTCTCCAGCTTGTTCTTCATATTCCTCAAACCTGGCCTTTGAGAGAGACAAAAACTCAACATAACTTTTCACATCATCTTTTTATTCAGCATGTACCTGGACAGTATATTCATCCTCCAGCACAGGAAACTTCCGGGCATTAAACTTTTTCTCAAAGTCATCTACCAAGCCAGGCTTCACCACACTGGCTTTGTAGTAAGTCCAGTCGATAACAGGTAGATTCTCAGGGACAGCAGCCAATATGGAGGTTAGGGTCTTATTATGGGATTTCAGGGAGTTAAGAAGGCCCTTCTGGTTGTGGGGTATGATCTCCCCAAAAGCTACCCAATAAATGGTCTTTAGAGCAAGTTTTTGCCCAGCTATCTTGAGATCCTTCACCAACCCTGGTGGCCCAGCAGGACATAGTGCCTTAAAAATAGTCAATTCCACAGTACCAATGAACTAAAATATGAAAAATTTCCAAAACTGTTCTTGGAAATCTCTAAAAAACAATATCAAAGTAATATGAATTATTTAATTGAAGAGAAAGTTGACAATTTTAGACCTTGAGATAGAAGGTTTATGTAATAAAAGTTTACATAAGGCAAGCCAGTAAAATTGGGCTTTTATTAAATGGGTTTGTCTTTGGGTTAACCACCACTTTTTGTCTCTTTTCTAAGCATTAACAATAATCAGTATACATGAAAGTAGAGTCCATTTGTAGTTTTGCATGCTGTTCTTTTCCAATGCTAGCACTTAAAGAACATTCAATTAATAATTCTTAATAAGCAAATGGCTATCAGCTACTACCTCTGAAATTGAAAGTTTTCACTTTAAGGAAGTTGCCTAATATGTTCTGTGATGACAGTCTGATAGCTTCACCCCAGGCATTTTTGTGACTTACGACATAAATATTTTTTAAAAAGGCCAACTGTGATGTTTAATTTTATATGTCAACTTGGTTATACTTTATATAGTACCCAGTTATTTAACAAAACACGAATCCATGTGTTGTTATGAAAGTATTCTGTAGATGTTGCTACCATCTACCATCAGTTGACTTTAAAGAACAGACATTATCCTCAAAAATATGGGTGTGCCTCATCTCATAATTTGAAGGCTTTAAGAGCAAAACCTGATGGTTGTGGACAAGAAGATATTCTGCCTCCAGCCTGCAGAATTATCTCCTAGGTTTCCAGCCTGCCCTGCAGAATTTAGACTTGCCAGTCCGCACAAGTGGGTGAGCCACTTTCTTAAAATAGATCATAAATACACATGTGTATATGTATAATACTATATGTATCTTATTGGTTCTGTCTCTCTAGGGAACCCTGACTGATCCACCAACAAAAGTGAATGATGTTTTTGAGGCTTTAAAGTACTAAGAAGACACCAAAAGTAGAACACACCAAATGATACTATATATTGCTTTCAACCTTTAGTTTTAACTAAAACAAAAGGCTTTTTCTTTGATACCAATCCTAGATTACAGATCCCAACCAACATATATCCCATTTAACATTCATGTCCTTTGAGCCTTTTTGCATAATAACATAGAGATTTCTCAGAATCAAAACTATGTATCATTAAATCCAATTAAAAAGGGATTCTAAAACAGAATTCTTTAAAGATTATCCATAACATCAACAACATAGACAACTGAAATCATATAGAATGTACTTATGCCATATTAGTAATAAAAACTAAGAGAGCATAATTGTGTACTCCATACCTATAAATCTGTAGTTCCACCTGTTAGCATATGCCTAAGGAAGAGAAATAGCTTATCAAATCCAGGCAAATGAAGGATTTAACCAAAAACACCCAATACTATTTACTTATTTATCTTTAAAGATCTTATTTTTAAGTAATCTCTACACCCAACACGGGGCTCGAACTCACAATCCTGAGATCAAGAGTTGCATGCTCTATCAACTGAGCCAGCCAGGTGCACCTCCAAAACTATTTAAAAACTCACTTTATATCACCAAAATAGAAAATATCATTTTTAGCATTAAAACTAGAATAGGTATACCAATGTAATGTTGATATTGAGAAATGCAGTATATTTATGTAACCTGAGACCGTGGACCATGTTACAAAAGTGCTCATTTTATTGTCATGTATATTTTGCAGGGTAAGGGAAGGGGAATAAATATCAAGTGTTAAAGTATAAACTGTGGAACACAAGCCTTTGGCTGATTTTATTTATCCTGGACATTTTAACCCCTTTATACACTTACTGAGAAAGACAAATACCAGAAATTCCTTCTTGAATATTTTCCTTCAGTTTTTCCATAATCTCCAGATACTCCCATTCCCTCTCACAATGATTATCCTAATGCTAAACTGTTCAAAGGAAGCAATTAAGGGAAGCAATCAGGTTGTACATCACAAAATGGAGACAATCTAGCAATTTCTTTTATTTAAACACAAAAAAAAATGATCAAAAAATTCAGTACATTTCTGTGGCCTGAAAACCTATTTTTTGTCTCCTCCTTTCTACCCTCATCTTCTTCTATTCCCAAGTCCTATTGCCCGGTCACAGCAACAAAAGCCCATTTTATCATATATTGTCACCTCAATCCGTGTGAAGAAATAATGCTGCTCCAAATGTACAGCTATGTCGAAGAAGTAAAAAGCATCAAGCCAGCCTGGAAAATGGCAGCATTTTATGACCCCAGTTTTAGTTTATGGTCATTTCACAAAATCTACTGAAGTTATAAAAGACTTAAAAGTTTTTTCTGTAATTAATAAATTGATCCTCTGTCTCTCCATTTCTAATTCCTTAATTCCAATTCTACCAGGATGGTTTATATTGCTAAAAATATCTATGGAGGATTAATCTTTTAGTCATAATTTTTAAAATGGATGTAATAATTGATTATATATATATAAATCACTGCCTAATCAGAAATAAAATTTTAATCCCATAAAAGATGTTTAATAGCAATTTTATAGTTAAAATAATTAATGGTTAGGGGATTAAAAATTAAATTTTAAGGTGGCTAAAGCATAAATTCAAAAACTTTAGACAATTTTAAAGAGAACAAAACATTAAAAAGCTTATAATTGTGTTTCTAAAATTATGTGTAATTACACATTGCTATCCTACATTTTCATATAAATTAATATAGATGGATATCATTCAAAAAAATTTTGTAAAACATTTTTAAAGACAATGGAAGGACAATAAAACAATTTTTACAACTGAATAGCCATAAAACAATTTTTAGTTATAATATAAAGAAATCTTATTCATAAAAGAAAACAAAGAAAGTAAGTTGAAGGCACTAGAATGCTGAAATACTAATTACTCTCCTTTTACATAGGGAAAAAGTATGGCAGTACAATTCTGTGACTGTTATATACGCAAAGCTTCCACTAACTTTGATGATTTTGTCTTCATAAGAAACAAAGAATTGCTTTTACCTATGTAAAAAATTACATATGTAATTTTTTTTATTAGTAAGAGGACCTCATAACACTGTTAAACAAATGGGGGGCTCTACATTCCCGTGCCTGACAATTTTCAACAAAGGAACTTCACTTTTGCTAAGACAATGACTAAAATCTGTGCAAGATTCTCAAATTTTGAATATATCACATTAAGGAACACCCATTTTATTTTCAATTGCTTGAGTTGCTTGATATTGGGTTGGGATGGGATTAAAGCAAATGCAGTTGTACTACAGGAATTTTCTGCCACTCAACTGCCAGTGAAGTAATGCATAAAGAATTATTATTAAGTCAAAAGAGAAGAGAATGCATTTGAAAGCAGAATTTACCCCCCTGATTAAGTTTTACGAATGGAAAGATCAAGATTCAGGTCACTATGGACCCTTTTCCCAACTCAGAAAGAGACTCTCTTTATTAATAACCATTATTAAAGTATGCATCATGGCCTCATTACAAATTAGGTATTTAGGAAAAATTGCATTTCCTTCAAAGAAAAATGTTAAAAACGTACAATTCCTTCATCACTCATTTTTAAATACTAAGGAAAGATATGCAACTGTTTTTGTAACCTAGGCTCAAGCAACTGCCCAAGAAGCCTACAGAACTGATATCAATAGGAGTTTTATGCCTAACGGAAAATCAGTCTACAGATTTATCTTAATCTCAAAAATAATGTCATCACTGAGATACAAAAGTAGGGATTACACTGTGTTGTTAAAACGTTAGCAACTGCACTTCATTTTTTGAAAAGGCAATATAGTTTTCTTAAAATAGAGTTGATTATATCTCTTATCACTTTTATAAGAATTTGATATATCACAAAGCATAAGAGTTACAGCATGTGCCAACTATCAACCAGAAAAAATGAACCTGATTCATAATTCACTTTAAGAATGTCTAGTTAGTCAATCAAATGATTTGTAATCATGAAGAATGCCAGAAATGTAGTGAATAATGAGCTAGTGTAAAATCCCTGGATTTTTTTAGTATTATTTCATTATGTGACTTTTATTGCCATTTTTGATCACTGTTTCTCAGCAGCACACATATTTACTTACAAGTTTCTGACTATTAAAGAGGCTTAAAGGATATACAACTTGAATGACCAGAGTATTTAATGTCTTCCTACAAAATTAAAAGTCTTACTGTTTAGAGCTTGAGCAAAGAAATTTCATTCCGTTCAAACCCCTTGACACTTCCCTAATAATATAAATTATTTAGTGACTATGCTATTTCAACATAGCAAATTTTAATTCAGTATATTTTCTTAAGTTGTTTCTATATAGCCTAAAACAAAGAAACTCGCTTAACAGAATATAGTTAATATCAGAAGCTTAAGCTTCCTTTTACTATCTTCATAGTATAATATTTCCTTAGTTAAAACTAATGTAAGCTGATGGTCAAAGAACATTTGACCTCAAATAAACAAAATATAAACCAACTTGAAATCTGGCATATTACTAAAGCAGTAATATCATACATTAGTGTTTTTCTTTTTTTAAGATTTTATTTATTTATTTGTCAGAGAGAAAGCACAAGCCGGAGAACTGGCAGGCAGAGCAGGGCAGAAGGAGAAGCAGGCTCCCTCCCGACCAAGGAGCCCGACACAGGACCTAATCCCAGGACCCTGGGATCACGACCTGAGCCGAAGGCAGAAGCTTAATAGACTGAGCCACCCAGGTGTCCCCATTAGTGTTTTTCTAAATGTAGAACTACTAACCTATGTTAGAATTTGTCATTCTGATAATACTGGCCATTATAACCTTTTTAATCAGGATTCCATAACATAAGAGTTACAGTTGCAAAGGAAATGGAACTTTAAATGTAATAATAAGTAGGTTCATTCCTTGATGTATTTTTCCTTATTTTTCAAGCAGAAGGGTCCTTTTCCAACTTTAAACTGATTATAACACCAAAGCACATGTGGATCTCCTTAAAGGAAGTGACAGTCTTTAAGTCAAGACCTATATTATTAAAATATATTATTCATGAAAAAATTCAACTATTGAAATTTCGTGGATAAATTTTCAATAAATGGTTAGTTGCTCAAGATAACAAAACTCCAGACATACACTATACTGCTGTATAAGAAGCTAGTATGACTACTGTCAGACCTCAGGAAAGATACTGTTTTTAACACTGAATATTCCCTGATGAGTGTAGTAGCACTCCACCTTAGAAGGCATGTTATCACCATTATCATACCAACTGTGAGGATAACGTTTTCTTTCCTTTATAGTTTAACCATTTGTTTATTCATCCATTTAACAAATGCTTATTAAGCATCTATATGTACCAGGTATTGTGCTAAAAACTGGGGACATAAAAATGAATTAGACACATAGCCTTTGTACTTGCCATTAAGAAATCTACAGTCTATCTACAGTCTAGTTAGAAAAAGACATATAAATATTATAAGTGCAATAAAATATAAAGGTATATAAATATAAAATATAAGGTTCTAGAATAGAAGTATGCACTAGAAAGGCTCAAAGAAGATAAGGTTCAATGATAGAGGTCAGTAGTTAAAAACGCCTTAAAGAGAAACAAACCTGAATCTTGAATGAAAAGTTGGTACTCAATAGGAACAGAGAAAAGATCATAATGGTAAGAAGAAAAGTATTAATGAAGACAAAAGTGCTGAATACCTAATTATGATAGGATAACTACAAGGTATTCAGGGTTTTTTTGGGGGGGTAAGATTTAATTATTTATTTTAGAGAGAGAAAGAGAGAGAGCAAGCATGAGGGGGGGTGTGGGAGAGGGAGAGAGAGAATCTCAAGCAGACTCCCTTCTGAGTGTGGAATACCAGCCCCGATCTCACAACCCTGAGATCATGACCTGAGCCAAAATCAAGAGTCAGCCGCTTAAAGAACTGAGCTATCCAAGTGCCCCCAAGCTATTCATTTTAACTGAGGCAGACATGTAAGGAGTACACAAGACACTGGTTGGTAAGGAAGCGGACTGCTGGAGGTAAGCTTGAAGCAATATGCAATGGCCCACTAACAAAAGACCTTGCACGGATGCTAAAGACAACACAATCTGCATCCTGAAGTCCTTCAATGGCTTCTGTCTGTAAAAACAAAAAAGAAAAAAAAAGAAAAAAAATCCATAATGTCTACACAATTTATACATTTGTCTTTCCTCAACAATGGTCAAACTAACACTTCACACTTTATTACAAATCTGTTAGAGAACTAATATCATCATTTTAGCCTCCCTGTTTTATATGCATATGTAAATAATCCCCCAGAACAAGGGTCTCAGCCTCTAGCAAACTAAAATATTAAACAGCAATTCTACCACCTGAAGAGTGGGGCAGACACTAAAGATACACCAAGTTTTCCCAAGGAAGCATCCTGCAGCACATACACACAACATTAAGTATACGTAATATACTGACGGACTGTCAAAAGTTATGTCCACATAGGGGCGCCTGGGTGGTGCAGTGGGATGAGCGCCCGACTCTTGGTTTTAGCTCAGATTGTGATCTCAGGGTTGTGAGATAAAGCCCCATGTGGAGCTCTACCTTTAGCACGGAGTTGGCTTGAGACTATCTCTGCCCTGCCCTGCCCCAGCGAGCGTGTGTTCTATCTCTAACATTAATCAATAAATCTTTTTTTTAAATGTTATGTTCACATAAAGTCACAAAAGCAAATGTTTCAGTCAGATACATTTTGGTGTACCTCAGTCAGTAGTACAAAATCACTGTTAACTAGGCTGACTGCCTCAAAAGTGAAGGAGCCCATTCTCCTTGTAAATGTAAACCTTTCATACAGCTTAACACCACACTTATAAACAGGAGCTTTGAACAGAAGTTCTGAGGTCACATGGTTGAAATCCTGGGTCAGTCACTGGTCAGTGCAAATTATTAAACTGAGTTTAGTTTCCTTGTCTATAAACCTGGGATAATCATTCCTACCCCACATAACTGTTACAAAGACATAACAAGATATAAAAAGCACTCAGAATAGAGCTGAGCAAATTATTAATTTTAACTAATTTTACCAATTCTAATTAATAACAATTATATATAATAATTATAAGTATTAATTATTTAACAAGTAGTATTTATCATAATAACTACAATATAAATTATTCTAGTTAAGACAAACTCAAGTTTAGACACTAAATAACTTTGACTTGCACTATAATGTTCAATTTCCAAAGTCTAATCCAGCTGAAAATGTTTGAGGTAGGCTTAATGTGAAAATAATAATACTGAGACAAATCATCTTAAAATAATGTTTTCAAGAAACAAGATTTTTAAAAACACACTGAGTTATGGGGTGCTTGGGTGGATCAGTTGGTTAAGCGTCTGCCTTTGACTCAGGTCATGATCCCAGAGTCCCAGGATCAAGCCCCGCATTGGGCTCCCTGCTCAGTGGGGAGTCTGCTTCTTCCTCTGTCCCTCCCCCTGCTTGTGCTCTCTCACACTCTCTCTCTCTCAAATAAATAAAATCCTTAAAAAAAAAAAAAACCCACACTGAGTTATACTTAATAATTACTTATAAGGCATGGGAAGGGAAAGCCCAATCTTACTACAGAAATATTTGAGTCTTTTTGAGGAAAAAAAAATTGTACAATCACTTTTTCATTGAATATAGTGCCATCTTAATTCCTTTTTTTTATTTCATGGCCTCTTACAAACCATTTAGTATAGATGGTAAGGCTGGTTATAATGGAACATCATACCTGCAAAGATCCTCTCCCTACAGTTAGACCTTTCTTTTGAAGTCAGTGAGCATCAGCCCCACCAGTCTTTGACTTTGGGATTTGTTTATGCCTCAAAAGAAGAAAAATTAAAAGATAATGATAACATTTAAAAAAGAGGATTACCAATAAAGCAAAACTGTAAAAGAAAATGGACTTCGACAACCTGATAATGCAGATAATTCAAGTGAAAACAACTTGAATAAAGAGAGCCAAAGCAACATCAGCAACTGTATCAAGTTACTTATATATAATGTTATACAAACACACACACATATATATATACACATATTTCATGGTTAGGTAGGGCTGGGTCAAGTCACAAATGTAATGAGTAAAGTAAAATGAAGTGATGATTAATAAATATGCACTAAATGATACTGAACTGAACTACGGATTGCTATTAGATACCCTACTACTTCTTGTAATAATATTACACATGTATAGTCATCCACTGTATCTCTGGGACAGCAAGCCTGTGGCAAGCATTAACACTGGCTACCATTTCAAAGACCAAATAATGTATTTGAAAACAGAAGAGTATCTTTACATTGACACTGTAGTTATATATGAAATTTCCTAAAATTCATAATATATTTTAAAATAAATATGTAACATGTGATTCTGATCTAGCCAATATTCAAATAAAAGTCATGAATTATAACTTAGCTAGCATGTATTATATGGAAATAATAACAGAGGTGAGAAAGAATAACTAAATTGGGGTGTGTGGCTGGCTCACTTGGGAGAGCATGTGACTCTTGACCTCGGGGTCATGAGTTCGAGCCCCACACTGGGTGTAGTGATCACTTAAAAATAAATAAACATTTAAAAGAGAGGAAGGGAGAGACCCAAACTACTTTTAGGTATATTCATAAATACCAAATTATTACTTTCATCTCTTTTCATTGTCAGGTTGATTTCTGTGTGAATCTTTACACTCAAATAATAAAGCATAACAGCTCAACATCCCATAAAACAAAGTTCAAACCAAACTGTTGTTTGATAACCCTGAAAACATCAAATAACACTAGCATGATCTTCCCTGTGTGAAGATGACACTAACTCACCTTCAACAGAGATGAGCTTCAAGTTGTTTTTCCACAATGGAGATGAACTTGTTCATCTGGCCAACTCTCTTGCCAAAGCTCCCTGATGAACAACATCTTATATCTGCAAGATGAGTGTTACCAGTGGTCACAGAAAATAACAAAATAAAATTGTTAATATACAAATGAAACCTATGCCTTAGTCCGAAATCACCTTATTTTAATGAACTAAAAATAAGGTCAAGGAAATATATAAATGTTATAATACTTACAAAACTGTACATATATTTACTCCGATACATCACTATATTCTATATATCACTGACGTAAAAATACAAATAAAGCCTGACCTCTATCCTTAAGTAAAACTATTCTCAGCTATCTTACCTAAAAAACAAAGATTGCTTCTGACATATAAAATCAAAAGTGTATAATGAAAATGCTCAAAACATGAAAGCATGCCAACTTTATATCCCTCATCAACAGTAGCAATAACTGAGGAAATTAAGGAATATTTTTGTTAATGTTAGCAACATTCTCAATAACATTAAATACAGCATGACTACAGCCAAAATTACTTTGACATTTCCCAGAATTCTGAAAAATACTTCTATTTTTTATGAAAAAAATACTTTCGTTACTAGCTACAGTGTTTATTCATGTTAATACAGACAGAGGGTTGTAATTAAACATTCCTGATACGGAATTTTATCGATTGCCAGTTGAATCTGGTTAAACATTACCTGAAGACACAGTTTTTAAGTAGAAGTAAAGTTGATGTTATGTGCCTCTTTATCATTTAAGAGAATAAAAATTAGATTAATATCTATTAAAAATCAGTAAGGAACTATTTACAACTAGATACAATTCAAACCAAATCACAATGCTAAGTATCTATGATGAGTAAGGCACTCACTATTCAGGGGTTCTGTGAGCAGGTATAAGAATAACAAGGCATTACCAACAATCTCAAAGAAATCACAGTATCAGTTTAATTGAAACATTCCACTTCCAGTTCTACATAATTGTTTACAATAAGAAACAGTTAAATTCTAACCTAGCCTCTGCTAGAACAGGAAGGATGAAGTAGAAAAGCATAGCATCATACCAGAGCATGGTAGCTACCACAGGGATGAGGCCCTGGGGCTCCTCTTTCAAGGGAATATAAAGAAGTTCCAATAGAAACGTTGAGAACATCTGCTACAACCCATGATGTAGGCCCACTGCCACCTGTAAACAAATAAACTTTGTTAATTTAAAGGCTCTATACAAATGTTTCCAGTCACAATCCTGGGGTTATTCTTCTTAACAACTCTTCACTATATTTCTTACCATAATTCCCTAACAACTCACCAAAATTGGAAGTCCTCCATTAGGCTGCAAACTCTTAAAGGTCCTCTTCATTTTAGTTTCCCAATTCCAAAATGCCCAGCAGAATAACTTACAAATTGTAAATGCTTAGTAACTGTTTGATAAGTTGAAATGAACTAGTCAACTTACTCCCTTACCTTCACTCCAAAAATTATCACTTATTCTAGCTATATTCACTATTACTGGCAGGACAGTATTAGATGAAAAGACAAGATTATTTATTCAGCAAACATTTTCCTCAAACATCTACTAGGTACCATGCTAAGTGCTAGAGATACTAGTATAAATAACACATGATCCTTGCCCATTCATAACTCAGTCTATTAAGAAAGATAAAGACGCTGGAATATGATTATACATTAGAAAAAATTAAGAATTATTAATTTTTTAAGTGTGCTCATAGTATTGTGATTATGTAAGAGAACATAAGATTATGTTCTTATTGGGAGATGTGTGTTATAATATTTATGGATGAAGTAGCACAAGATCTGTACCTTACTTTCAAGTGGATCAAACTAAATCTGTGTGTGTGTGTATATATGTAAATATACATATACATACATATTTATAACTGTTGACTCTAAATGGTGGAAATATGGGTGTTCATGTTACTTTCTCTGGTATTTAAATTTTTCACAATAAAAGTGTAGACAAAAAAAAAGAAATAAAGACAGTGTACTCTGAAAACTATAAAACACTGATGAAAGTAATTGAAGATGACACAAAGAAATGGAAAGACATTCTATGCTCATGGATTGGAAGAAATAAATATTGCTAAATGTCTGTATTACTCAAAGCAATCTACACATTTAATGCAATCCCTATCAAAATACCACCAGCATTTTTTACCGAGCTCAAACAAATATTCCTAAAATTTGTACAGAACCACAAAAGACCCCAGATAGCCAAAGCAATCTTCAAAAAGAAAAGCCAAGTTGGAGGCATCACAATTCAAGTCATATTACAAAGCTGTAGTGATCAAGACACTTTGGTACTGGCACAAAAACAGACACATTGATCAATGGATCAGAACAGAGAACCCAGAAATGGACCCTCAACTCTATGATAAACTAATCTTCAACAAAACAGAAAAGAATATTCAATGGGAAAAAGTCTCTTCAACAAATGGTTGGACAACAACATGCAGAAGAATGAAACTGGACCACTTTCATACACCATACACAAAAATAAATTCAAAATGGATTAAAGACCTAAATGTGAGACAGGAAACCATCAAAATCCTATAGAACACAGGCAGCAACCTCTTTGACATTGGCTGTAGCAACTTCTTACTACATACATCTCCTGAGGCAAGGGAAACAAAAGCAAAAGTGAACTATTGGGACTTCATTAAGATTAAAAAAACACTCCTGCACAGTGAAGAAAACAACCAACAGAACAAAAAGGCAACCTTTGGAATGGGAGAAGATATTTGCAAATGACATATCTGATAAAGGGTTAGTACCAAAATCTATAAAGAACTTATCAAACTCAGGGTGCCTGGGTGGCTCAGTTGGTTAAGCATCTGCCTTCGGCTCATGTTATGATCTCAGGATCCTGGGATCAAGCCCCACTTTCGGCTCCCTGCTCAGAGCAGGGAGTCTGCTTCTCCCTCTGCCTGCCACACCGCCTGCTTGTACGCTCTCTCTCTGTCAAATAAATAAATAAAATCTTAAAAGAAAAAAAGAAAGAACTTATCAAATTCAATACCCAAAGAACAAATAATCCAGTTAAGAAATGGGTAGAAGACATAAACAGACATTTCTCCAAAGAAGACATACAGATGGCTAACAGACACATGAAAGGATGCTCAACATCACTCATCATCAGGGAAATACAAATCAAAACTACAGAGACACCACCTCACACCTGTGAGAATGGCTAAAATGAACAACATAGGAAATAAAAGACACTGGCAAGGATGCAGAAAGGGGAACTGTCTTACATTGTTGGTGGGAATACAAACTGGTGCAGCCACTCTGGAAAACAGTATGGAGGTTCCTCAAAAAGTTAAAAATAGAACTACCCTACAACCCAACAATTGCATTACTAGGTATTTACCCAAAGGATATAAAAATACTGATTTGAAGAAGCAAATCTACCCCAATGTTTACAGCAGCATTATCAACAACAGCCAGATTATGGAAAGAGCCCAACTGTCCACTGACTGATAAATGGATAAAAAAGTTGTGGCATATGTATGCAATGGAGTATTACTTAGCCATCAAAAAGAATGAAATCTTACCATTTGCAACAATGTGGATGGAGATAGAATGTATTATGCTAAGTAAAATAAGTCAGAGAAAGACAAATACAGTATGATTTTCCTCATGTGGAATTTAAGAAATGAAACAGATGAAGATAAGGGGGGAAAAAGAGAGGCAAACCATAAAACAGACTCTTAACCATAAAGAATAAACAGAGTTGCTGGAGGGAAGGTGGGTAGGGGATGAATTAGATGGGTGATGGGAATTAAGGAGGGTACTTGTTGTGATGAGTGCTCGGTGTTATAGGTAAGTGATGAATCACCAAATTCTACTCCTGAAACTAATATTACACTCTATGTTAACAACTAGAATTTAAATAAACTTAAAAAAAAAAGAAAGATAAAGATGGAAATTAGTCACTAGCATACCCTGTAATCAATTTATAGCAAGTTTTCCAGAAAGTTCTACAGGTAGTAAAAGAAAGGGAAAACTGGCTTAGAATAAACGCTTTAGAGAGGAAATGTCATGTGAAATAAAAAATTAGCAGCTGCTGGACAGACAGACAAAAAGAAAAAAGGCATTCTTAATGGAGGGAAGAGGTAAAAATTATAGAGGTTCAAAAGGGTACACAATATTCTGAGAACTTCAGGAAGCTTTTTGGAGAGTAGTAAATGAGAAGAGGAATGAGAAAGTTCACAAAGATGCCTATTATGCTAAAAAGCTGACCTCTGACTGAAGGAGGTAAGCCAGGAGAGTGATGTAATCATTAAAAAGATCCTGGCAGTAGTGTGAAAGACGGGAGGAAGGACAAGACTGAGGCAAAGAACTAAATCACATGAGACAAAACTGTCTTGACCTAATGGTTTATGGAATTATGGTGACCCGATTCATCATCAATGATCATTGGGTCTTTTACCCCATGGGTCTCAAATTCAGGTAGATATTTAGAGATTCCAGATGATTTATTTTAGAAAACTGTTTATGTGGTATAATCTCAATCAAAAATCATGGCAGGAATTTCAAAAGAATTATATCAAGATGTCAAAATATTAATAACAAGTAGCTCTGGGTAGTGGGGATATAGGTCATATTTTTCTTCTTGTTAATTATATATTTCAAATTTTCTACAGGGTAAAATTAAAAACAAATCCTACAGCAATTCTTTGAAACTTTAAAGTTAAAACTGGCATTAACCCTACAGGGCCAGAGATTCCTTCACAACATAACTGACCCAAAGCCTCCCTTCACCACCATGGCCCACTATACACAAAATACTCATTCCTACATCAGAGTAGGAACCTAAACCTAACCTATGTTTAGAACCTAAACCTATGTCCTCTGTTTCTGTAGCATCCTCTTGTTCTGAACATCTGTCTAAATCCCAACTTCATACCACAAGCTATACTGACTTTGTATATTATCAAAAGCTCATCATCTGCCCCATACATTGTGACACTCGATCATATCATTTATTGAAAGTCTTTCTAAATAGTTCTCCAGTCTGTTCTTCCAACAGTTTTTTTACAAGAATATTAGAGCAAAATCAGTCCTATTCCAAAACAAACATTCAGACATGACTTATTTATGGGTATCCGTGTAAGTAATTACACCAATGAATTGATCAACTGCAAATTTATGTATATAACCACTACCAGAGTTTTCAAGTCTATCATTTCAGAAAAAAACTGCCTACTGTTAATGAGTTGAATTGTGTCCCCCCAAAAATATACCAAAGTCCTAACTTTCAGTACCTGCAAATGTGACCTTACTTGGAAAGAGTGTCATTGCGGATGTTCAAGTTAAGATGAGGTCATTAGGGTAGGCTCTAATCCAATATGACTGGTGTGTTTATAAAGGAAAATTTGGACATAGAGAGGTCAGCACACACACAGGGAGGTCACCACATGAAGATGAAGGCAGGGATCAGAATGATGCATCTATAAGCCAAGGTACACCAAAGATTCCAATAAACCACCATAAGCTAAAAGAGAGGCATGTAATAGATTATATTCCTCACAGCCAGTGGAAGAACCAACCATGATGACACCTTGATCAGGGACTTCCAGCCTTATAACTAGGCAACAATAAATGTCTGTTATTTAAGCTACCCCTTTTGTAGTACTTTGGTACAGCAGCCCTAGCAAAATAATACACCTACTAAGGGAAACCATGATATTTTTTTCCCCCTGGAAGTCACTAAAGACAAAAACATTCTGAAGGAAGACTGCAAATCAGAAATAATAAACTTTCTTGTATTCACTTTTCAATCTGCTAGCAAAGGTGGTATTTAATAGCTAAGCCAACCTAGTGCCAAAAAATTCTAAGGATAGAGTTTCATCTAGATAGTACCATTTACACATACAACAGCACATAATCAAACAGAGAGAATATTATCCTATAACTACTGGGACATGAAAATAACATGAAATTATATAGATTTCCTTTGTTTTGTATAAGAGTTGCTCTATGCTTTCCTACGTGCCTCTGAGAATACAATTTGACCCTATAATCAAAAAGTAATATAATCAGTTACTTGGTAAGAAGCAGTGAAATCAGCATAGACCAGGAGTGGGCTCTGGAGTGACACATACTTCATGTCAAATCCTTGCTGTGTTACTCACCTTCTATGTGACTTGACTG